ACCTCTGATATTTACGGACAAGGATTATCCCCCAGTCCTCAGCCCTCACAGGGACGCTCTGGTGATAAGAGTGGAGATCAATAATGTGGTTGTTCACCGAACCTTGGTCGATACGGGCAGCTCGGTCAACGTAATGTACAGCAACACCTTTAAGGAGTTGGGGTTGTCCCGAAGAGACCTGAAACCAATCCATACGCCACTATCAGGGTTTACAGGGGATACTATCGAAGCAGAAGGAACTATCACGGTAAAGGCCGGGGTAGGAGATGGCACCCACCGACTCTGGGTCGACATGGAATTTATGGTAGTACAGCTCGACTGTGCACACCATCTGATTCTGGGACGACCAGGGTTGGAGGACCTGGAGTGCGTAATCTCCCCCGTCCACTTATGCCTAAAGTTCAACACTCCCACAGGGGTGGGAGTAGCAAAGGGGAACCAGAGCCTGTCACGGTCGTGCCACGTCAGGGAGACCAAAAGCCAAGCCCGAGTCGACGAGAATGTGAGCACGATCTGTGCGGCGATCCAGAAAGAGGAGGGGCGACCCCGAGCTGAGCCGGCGGAAGAGGTCGAGGAAGTTTCTTTGGACCCGGTTGAGCCAGAGCGGAAGGTGAAGGTAGGTAAAACCTTACCGCCTGAAGTAAAGGAGCAGCTATTGGAGGTCCTCCGAGCATTCAAGGTGCTATTCGCTTGGGGACCGGAGGATATGCCAGGGGTCGACCCAAAAATCATCTGCCATAGATTGGCAGTGGATCCGGCCCACAAGCCGGTCAAACAGAAGAAGCGTTTCCTCTCCTCAGAACGGAGAGAGTTTGTAACCAAGCAGATGACCACCCTGCAATCCATTGGGCACATCCGGGAAGTCCGCTACCCGGAATGGTTGGCAAATGTAGTCCTCGCACCCAAAGGGAATACCTGGCGGATGTGCGTCGATTACACTGATCTAAATAAAGCTTGCCCGATGGATCCTTTTCCTCTCCCCAACATTGATCAGTTGGTTGATGAGACGGCAGGATGTGAGCTTATGAGTTTTATGGACGCATTCAGTGGGTACCATCAGATCAAGATGGCAGTGGCGGATGAAGAAAAGACCGCTTTCATCACCCCCAACGGGGTATACTGTTACAAGGTGATGCCTTTTGGTTTGAAGAAAGCTGGGGCGACCTATGCACGAATGGTGAACAAGCTGTTTGCGCCGGTACTAAGGGGGTGCATGGAAGCGTATGTGGACGACATGATTGTCAAGTCCAAACGGACGGAGTCTCATGCTGGCGACCTGGAGAGAGTATTCAAGATCATGAAGAAGTTCCAGCTTCGCCTTAACCTCAAGAAATGCACATTTGGGGTGCAGGGGGGTAAATTCCTTGGACATATGGTCAGCCGGAGAGGGATCGAGCCTAACTCGGAAAAGGTAAAGGCGATTTTGGAGATGGAGCCTCCGCGAAATGTAAAGGAGGTCCAGCAGCTCACCGGCAGGATTGCTGCTCTCAGTCGTTTCTTATCAAAGATAGCTGATCGAGCGGCTCCTTTCTTTCAGACCATTAAGAAGAGTAGAGGGTTCGTTTGGACCGAGGAATGTCAACGGTCCTTTGAGGGGTTAAAAGCATATCTCCTCTCCCCACTAGTGCTTTCGAAGCCAGAGCCCGAAGAGACCTTATTCCTATACTTAGGAATCTCTCCTCGAGCTGTGAGCTCGGTGCTTGTGAGGGAGGAGGAGAGCGCACAGCGACCTGTGTACTATGTGGCCCGAGTGCTGCGAGGGGCGGAGTTGAGATATACCAACATGGAGAAGACCATCTTTGCGGTGGTATGTACGGTGAAAAAGCTCACCCCATATTTTCAAGCCCATCCGGTCCATGTGTTATCACAAATTCCCATCGGAACACTTCTTCGAAGCCCAAATGCCTCGTCACGGGTCAGCAAGTGGGGGGTGTTCCTGGGATCCTTCCAAATAGAGTTCAAGCCGCGACCGGCGATAAAGGGACAGGCACTAGCAGATTTCGTGGTAGAATGCACTGCGAGAGAGGTAGAATCTAGTGGAGAAGAACCCGAAGGGAATTGGTGGACCGTGTACACCGATGGGTCGTCCGCGACTGATGCTTCGGGGGGAGGTGTCGTGGCGATATCACCGGAAGGGTTCAAGGCATACTACTCCGTGAGATTCCGGTTTAAAGTCTCGAACAATGAGGCTGAATATGAGGCACTGCTTTGCGGNTGGAACACAAGATCTGTTGATCGCATGAGCGACCAGGGGATCTTGGGGGTATGGCGACGCCACAAGGGTCAAAGTAACCCGGAAATGGCTAAGTCAAAAGAGGCGAGGTATTCTCTGATTCAAGTCCGAGGAAACCTGAACGTCTAAAGTGGGATGCGAAAGAGAAGAAGGTGAAACTTGTAAGTAAACAGGTAACATCAAAATACATTCACAAAAATGTTCATTACATTCCAAGGATAATCTCTTGCATCTGCTACAGTACAGTTGAGAACAATCTCTACGTAAGAAGGGATACTTTCCCATACATCTCTTACAATGAAAAACAACAATCTAAGACTTTGCGAGCGAAGGTCTAGGGGGGACAGGCAGGTTTGAAGGGTAGTTCTGCAGCTGTATAGGCAGGCAAAACTCCGATCACCGGCCGTCCAGGACGACCACCTTTCTTCCCCAACATGGAACGGGAGTGGTCGCCCCCAGCCTCGGCAAAAACCCACCGCCCTTCTCCTACCAAGGAAGGACGGGGGACGGCTCACTTCTCTGAGAACCCCAACTAGCATCACCTAGGCGAGGATGGAGATCCTGAAGCCGCCCGAGCTACTTCAGGTCGCCTAGGGGTCTTCTGGGGAAGTGAATGGCAAGCGGGGCGAGGTAGGGAAGAACCCAGTTCTTCCCCTAACACAACCTCCTCCGTAGGCCTCACCGGCGAACTGGTGCGACTTTCGCTAGTCCATCGCTCAAAACTTGCGTAGTATGCGCACTCATGCTCCAGAGGGGTAAGTGCTCATCTTGAAAGCTCTCCCAGGCCATACATTGCAGGAAATGGAGGGGGCATGGAGCATCCCAGTCAATCCGCCCGTCAGGTAGACGGTTGGCGGAGAGGGCCTTGTACGCCTCACTAAAGTCTTCATAAGGGTTTGGAGGTAGTGGCGGCGGTTTCACCGACGGCCACTGCCAGCGAGGCAGCCGGCGACAGAATTCGTAAGGGTCAAGCCCCCCCAGTCATTGGAATTGACTGACTTGGGGGAGGAGGCAGGCTCCGGCGAAGAAGGAGCCGGCCCGTCGGAAAGATTCAGAGAAACAGGAATTCCTTCAGACATGGCAAGGATGGAGGAAAGGAAGATATTTGGTGATGGAGCAGAGTAGAGGCCAGGGGACTTATAGATAAGCCAGGGCGAAGGAACCGAAGAGACGGTCAAGTCTCGAGGCAGCTGAACCAATAAAGCAGCTTTGAGCCGCGCGAAGGTCCAATCAGAAACGGTGAAGGGCATTGGGTCAATTGGGCGGCACGCTGGCCAATCCAGAGATTGGGCCCGGACAGGTAAACGGGCCGGGACTAGGAGTTGGGCCCAAACTAAAACATACATGTTAACCAGCTAAATCAAAAAAGAGAGTGTTGACGTAAAGCGCCGAAAAAAGAAAGCACATGGTGAATCTAGAAAATCAAACAACATAGGAGCATTGTATCAAAACGACAAATCATTCCGAAGGAAAAGAGAGAGGCAAGTGTTTGTAAAGCTATGGGGGAACAATGGGGGATTTAGACGGCCGAGCCGGAAGGTCCACCCGCTTTGGACATGGCTAAGCTGGCCCCTGGATTCTGGTCGCTCTGACCACCTTCCACTTCTTCTTCTTCCTCTTCTTCCGACGCACTCGAGCTCCCCCCGTCCAGATAGGGACTAGGGTCGAACTCGGCCAAGGAGCAGCAGGGAGGAGGGAAGCCAAGGTCAGGGAGAGAGAATCCTTTGGGGAGCTGGGCCAGTCTGTCGCGGAAGACCTGTTGGGCGCGGAAGAGTCCGCAATTGAAGGACTTGGTCCCCTCCTTGACCATCCATTGAGCCCCAGGTTCAGTTTTGAGCCAAGCGGCCGTTAGCTCTTCCATCCGCTCCATCGCGACCACCGTGAAGTCGAGAGAGGACTTGAAGGATTCTACCGCTTCCTCTGCATGGCGGACCCGATCGCTCCTCTCCACTTCCAACTGCTGGATCAGATCAGATTTCTCACCTTCCAGCTCGACCACGCGAGCAGAAACAGATTCTACCTCCAAGGACAAGGAGGCCTTGTCTGCCTCAAGGGCGACGCAGCGGTTCTCCTGGGAAGCTTTCTCCACAGCAAGCGCCGCGCAGCGATTTTCTTTCTCCTCCAACTCCCTTGTGAGTCGAGCGACCTCTTCCTGCAGCTCCTTCTGCTTGGCCTCGGCTGCTTTCATCACCTCATCCGCGGCGGACTGGCGACCCCGTTTCCGGCCGACCACCTCAATCATCCCCAGCGTAGCCTGCGCAGAGGGGTGAGGGTTAGGGGCATAAAGAAAAGGAGTGATGCATAGGAGATCAAGACCAGTACCTGACTGAGCCTCAAAAGGACCATGTTGTCAAGGTCGTCCTCGGAGCCTGCTGAGATACGAGCCTGGTCTTCTGCAGGCAGAGTGATCAGAGTCTCCAGCTGTACGTCCCCTAGGCTTTGGGGCAGGGGAGGGATGCAGAGCCTCGTCGAGCGACCCCCGGTCGCCACCTCGTAGGTCACTGCGGGTGGCGAGGGAGGTCGCTCCAAGGCAATGCCCTGAGACGACCTGACGAGGTCGCCACCCTGCATCACGGGGTGTGGAGGGGATTGGCCAGCCATGGTACCCGGTTCCTGGGTAGCATCTTCTTGGTCCTCCACCACAATTACGGCCGGCTCTCGAGAAGGACCCTCCTCGCGGTGGGATGAAGAACGCTTGCCCTGGCCCTTCGTCTCTCTCTTCCTCTTCCTCCCTGCAGTGAAGCGACTGAGCAGGAGATCGCTTTCCATCTCTTCTCCTGAATCTTGTAATTCCACTGGAACAAAGGAAATGGTCAGCCTTGGGAAAAGATAAACTAAACATCTGGGCAAAAGAAAAGGTCACCTACCAAAAGGACCACAGTCAAGACCTTCCTCAGGAATGTCCTTCAGCTGGTCAGGCTGATGCCCCCCGAGAATGTCCCTCAGTAGGTCGGGTTGGTGGCGAAGCTCATCCTGAACAAACTCAAACCCCAACCCGGCAAGGGTTTCCTCTGTCACCACCTCTTTAATGTTCACAACTCCCTTATTGCAGAATTGGCGAGTGATGGACAAAAGGGTGGCATCAGGTGGGGGGCATGGGATGCGGCGGAAGGAAGGGCGCCCTGAACCCGTGAAAGGAGATTCGGGCCCCGTCGAAACGAAGACAAAGAAAGGCTTCCAGTCTTTGGTTGACCCCTTCTTATCACTAGCAAAGAGTTTACTAGACCTCTGGGAAAGCCTGGCATAGGACGCCCAATCTTTATGGCCCTTGGTAAGTTTGAAGGTGAATATGAAATGGTCCAAGGTCGGCTTCACCCCTACATCTTTGCACCGGACCAGGTAACCGGCAATGTACCGGTGAGAGTTGGGGACCAGTTGGCACGGGAGAAGGTCCACCACGTTGAGGAATTCAATCAACAACGGGTGGAGTGGGAAGCGCAGCCCCTTCTTCAAAGATGCCAGATGGACCGTGAAGAACCCCGATGGTGTGTCTAGAGCAGTTTGAGTACTGGTAGGTCTCATGACCTCGATGGAGGGTCCAACCATGTCAGTGGCATCGGCGAACCCCCGGTCAGTAATTTGACAATGGCACAACGCAATGATGTTTTCGTCCAATTCAACCCTTGAGCCCTCATCTACCGGAGTTGAGGAAGGGTATTGCTTCCTCAATCGACGCCGTTTGTGGTCAGGCACGGCCGACGGCGACGGCCGGGTGATGGAGTGTGGCCGGGGTTACGGTCGGAGGCCGATTGACCGGCTTGGCGAGAATTGGACAATGGGGTAGCCGAATCGGAATCTGAGACAATCATGGCGGCGAGAGAAGGAACTGACCAGGACAGGAAGAAGAACGAGTCGGGTGAGCAGCGGAGTTGCAGACGAACGGTAGTGAAGAAGGCGAAAGAAAGAGATGGCGTCCAGCGGCGGTTTTTAACTGACAACAGGAAGGGGAATCGGCAGGCCATGATTACTTATTTGTGGAGATCGTGCCCAAATGTCGTGCGGAACCCAAGGAACGGCCCGGATCCCCGCTGGAGCGTCCACGTGGACTTTGCAAACTCCCCATTCCTCCACTTGGCCCAGCTGAGGACTGAGGAGTTGGGGGGCTTATGATGGGCCGATATCCAGAGGACGGCCCAAATGAACCATTTAAACAGCTTTGGGTCAAGCACCTGTGAAATACTCAAGCTGGGCCGGCCCAAGGAGCTGGGCCTAGTTAACCTCAGGCCAAGCGCAGCTGGCAGAGTCAATCCGGAGAAGGAGACGGAGCAGATTGGCCGTTACGGAGCCGGGAAAAGGGGATCGCGCCCTTGGCGGGATAGACTCCATCGGTTATGCATTACCTTAATTGTTTAGAGCTCATGTATAAATAGAGGGGACCCGAAAGGGGAGAACTCAAGCTAGATCAAGCTAGTAATACACACCCAATTCTCGAATTCTCGTCCTTAATTTTGTTCTTACGATCCGCTCTGTGAACCGGATCATTTGTTGGATGAAAGCGAAGAAAACCTGTAATCGGAAGGAAAGTGGGGCCAGCGAGATGGATCGCGGCGAGAGAGCGGCAGCGTGTGATGGTCAAAGTAATCTCTCCAGTCCAAAACGGCATCGTTCGAGGCGACCAACATTCTGCTGCCGTAACCCTCGGAAGCAGGCAAATCCGGATCGCAGGAGTACCTCAGCTTCTCCGGCATAGGATAGTCCTGGAAGAAAGATCGGCCGACGCGCCTAGCACCATCCAGCAATTCGACGGAGACTCCGTGGTTTACTACGTGAAAGGCTCCCCATTCCTTGCAGGCCTTCGGTAGTTCGCCGAGGATGAGGTCGGCCGGCGCGCTCAAGTCGATGGTCGGCACCGGATGGAGGGAGTCGTTGACGTTGATACGGGACCTGTTATCGGGCGGCTGTACGTATACCGCCGGCACAACGGCTTCACCTTTTTGAGCTAGTGATTGAACTCTCTCGGGTTGATTCGCATCCGCCATTTTCATTGCTTCTACCTTGGCATCAGGTCCCATAATTTCATCAGTTCCGGTAATTTCAACTGATAGCGGAAAATGGATTACTGCCAGCATCAGAAAATAATTATTAGATGATTTAATAATAGTTTAACTTTAATTTAATTTAAAATTAAAGTATTATTTAATTTGATTTTAAAAATTGGAAACGGATACGGATATATCTGATATCCGACCGATATCCAACGGATGCGGATACGGTTTTGATTTTCAGTATCCGTCAAGAACCGTATACGAATTCGATATCTGACAAAAATAAACGGATATGGATTTGGTAATGGCACATCCAATCCGATTAATATCCGTTTACACCCTTAGTTGTAGTGTGAGTCTTGGGATATGTCATATGCATAATGCATAATGTATCTGTTTACAATCTCTCTTCTTAATCCTTGATCTTTTGAGGTTGACTGTCATTGTCGAAGATCATTCTGAGACAATCTAAACTTTACTACATTCGGTTCTATGAGGATGCTAGCAACTCAGTTGAATCAAATTTTCAATGAGTTAAGTACGTGTGTTATGCCATAATAACTTACTTGTTGATTACCTTCCCGGGGCAGAGATGTCGTGGAGAATGCGGGTGCAGGACTTTGAAAATACTGACTCAATGATCCGAAAACCGTTTTTAAAACCATTTGCTCCGATACCAAAATGTAACACCTCAATCCGTATAACCCGGAATTACACGTATTAAGGTGAAACCGGAGTTAAATAAAAATTTCGCTTGACATTTGAAAATGATAATTTCTTATAAATATTAAATTTACAAACTCTGAATCGCGATCCGTTTAAAAATATTTTCGGAGTAATGCGGAAGTACAATAATAATCAAATCATGAAACATTTAAAATATTGATGATCAAACATTTGCTTGTAATCCCTGCATCTCCTCCGACTCATTGCCCTCCGGGAGTGGTTCCGTCATTATCTTCTTGTTACCTACATGTAGTCAACGAAAAATACAAACTACACGCTCAGCGAAACCGCTGAGTGGTACCACGCTAGAATTGTAGAATAATTCACAGACATATACATATACATATATATACGTCCACAAAAATGTATAATAATATTTATGATATAGCACATTATATCATATGATCAAGTTGTTGGTTCATGATGATAAATATCAAATGATGGTTACCTGATGGCACATTTAATCAATATGATTATTCTTGATGATGATTAAATGACACATATGCAATCAATATAATTGTAATTGATGATGATAATATGATTTCACATTTAATCCATTTGATTGTTCTTGATGATGATTACATGACGCATGTGTAATCAATATAATTGTACTTGATGATAATAACATAATGCATGAAACTAACGTGCAAGGACGACCCTTGCGCTATGAGATTCGCCCAGGTTGTACGACGAACTCATGCCACCTTAGTCTCAGGAATGAGGTGAGACTAGAAAAATGGGGGTGGTGCTCGAAAGCCTGAATACCATGTATGTACACTAAGCCCAAACGTGTGATGTCAGACTGCTAAGTCCCGCACAATCACGCTATAATAGACGCAAGAGGCATGATCTCTTACGCATGCATATGATGTGATATGCTTCAATATGAATGATGAAACGAATGATATGATATGAACAATTTGCAACACATATGAATATATAATCATGCATGAGTTTTTTTGGTTGAAACATGATTAAAATATCATTAAATTAAGCTATGGGTCTCGGAACGGTCGACCGTTTGGCACGGCGGTCGACCGTGATATGATTCAATTCGTCGGATTCTGGTTTACCCTGACGGTCGACCGTGATTGACCGGCAGTCGACCGTTGTTGACGGCCTCTCTACTTTCGAGTAGGGGCAAGGTCTGCGTACACACACCCTCCTCAGACCCTACTCTTGTGGGATTTAACTGGGTTGTTGTTGTTGTTGATTCGACAAGTCTATCGCAAGGGTACAGACCTGGAAATCATCGGCCAAAACCTTACGGACGAGTGGTAGTGAAAACAACATCAAAATTCACCAACTTTGTCATTCCCGTCACAATCGGACATCCTGCTGTATTTTGGGTATATCTCCATCGTTTCTTCACGAAATTGCAAACCGTTTGATTCTGTGGATTCCTTAGATGTAAGGCTATAATTTTCGTGAAGAAAGGACTAACATAGCTTAGAAGTGGATGGATATGTGCTGCCAAGATTTTGGTATTTCGATGAACAACGATTCCGACGATCATCTCATCAATCTTCAATATTCCAACATCGAACCTTCTCTATGATGCCTTCCAGATGTTTCTAATAATCGTTAGAGAGTTTATGGTGAGTGTCTAAAATGAAACAATCTGAATTTGGTGAAGAAAATGGTCCAACCCGAGGAGCTCGCCACCACTAGCGCAGTCCTGGTATTTTGGCCATATCTCCTTTGTTACATAACGAAATCACAAACCGTTTGTTGGGTTGGATTCCTAACGTCCGGGGCTACAACTTCCATGTAGAAAGTATTTCGAGAATATGAATGAAAAATTTCAGTTTTTACCATGAAGTGACTGCTGCGTTTTTGAGTTCAAGATTTGGAAACTTTGGATGATTTTCTTGCTCCTTCTTCTTCCTTAACATACAACCATGGAGTTAAGTGGGCTGGTTTTCATCTTTCCTTGGTTGCCGAGAGAGATAGAGAGAGAGGAGATGATGGATGATGTTAGATGGTGGAGGAGTTGTCTAGGGAAGGGTGTATTATATTGACTTTAGTGGATATTAATATGGTGTAGTGGGTTTAGGTGGCTAATGGTTGAATTGGAGGTAGGCTAGGGAGATTTGGAAGAGATTTGAGATTTATGTTTTGTCTTTTAGTCAAAACTGAACAATTTATCCCAAACGATACACGCTTTTTCGTCTAAACTGCTCCGAATTGAAAACAAATTGCGTTTTTGAAATAAGACTGTCAAAACTAGAATTTTGATGTAATCAAAATATTTTTCTGAAAACTTTTATTTTTAGTGTTCGCGTCTATCTCAGTAAAAAAATTAATTTAATAATATGAATGAGAAATAAATATATGAATTTAATCCAAATGATGAATATGGTGTTGTCAAGTGTCAAAGATTAAGATTTATAATCTTATGAAATCAATTTTGAATTGAGTTTTATTTATGGGTCAAAGTTACAAATTTTAATATTTAAAATCGTCATAGCTTGAAATCTATAAATCAGATTGATTCATAAAATGTATCGTTGGATTCGTCTCTTCGAGACATATCCATAAAAACAAGTTTTTAACAAAAAGTCATTATTTTGAAAATCCATTTATTTTTGGTCAAACATAAAAATATTCTTTATTGGACCAAAATGATATTAAAAACTACTTTTATTTTATAATAAATTTTAAGTCATATTTTGTGGCATTACATATTTAGTCTTTTAAAAATAATTTCATTTTTCACTGTCATGTATAATAGTCTCAACTTTACTAAAATGTTCGAGTATTACGTTGCCGTGAAGTTACTAATGACGAATTAGCATAAGTGACTTGTTGTGCATAACAAAATGTAAGTTGAGATTTTTTTTGATGAATTATGTTTTTTATTTTTTTTTAATTTTTAGTTAAATTTTCAAAATAAATTTCTACCTCCACCATTTCTTTTTATTTTTTAAAAGATTATTCTTGTTTTGTAAAAAATAAAAATAGATATAAAAATAACGAACATGAGAAAAATCATACAAAATTAATAAAATAAATATGATAATAAAATGGAAATTCAATTGAAACTGGTACAAATAATATAAAAAAATGAGTGAAGGGTTCGAATATTTTACGGATTATATAAAGTATTAATGTAATACTTCTTATTTTTTTGAAAAAATGGGTAAAGTTAGGAATATTCTTGATAATTTTCCTAAAAATAAGAAGTGGTACGCTAATACTCTGCATAATGCATAAAATGTTGAAGTCCATCACTCTGTATATTTTTATTTTATTTCTTAACAGTTTTAGGTAATTTTATTACCTTATTTATTTTATTATTTTTATAGGATTTTAGTTATTTTCTCATTTTTTTAATATCTATTTTTTATTTTATACAAAAATTAGAATAATCTTTTAAAAAAAAAAATAAATTATGGATGTAAAAAATTATTTTGAAAATTAAAAAAATATCAAAAAAATTACAAATGAAAGTTCATCTAAAATAATCTCAACTTTAATTTTGTTGCGCAAAACAGGTCATTTTCGTTAACCCACCGCTAGTACCTTATTAGCAACCCAAAACTCACAAATTTTAGTAAAGTTAAGATTATTATGTATGACAGTGAATGATGAGATTATTTTAAAAAACCGTGTGTTTAATAATGTGTGGAAATAAAAAAAATATTAGTTTTTTTTGGAATAACTAATCCGCATGAATAATTAATACAGATGATATATATATTTTAAGAAAATGTTTTTTTCTTGGATTTTTTGGTATGAATAGTGATACATGTCGTGTTGGGAAAAGCATAACTCTTCTCAACATTATATTATTTACAGTCTTTAGTACACACACGTAAATAATCATGAGTGTGTGGTCGACGCTCGCCATAATTAATGATAGTCTTGACCTGTTCATGATAAAAGTGGGAGCTATAAGGGTTTATTGAACCACAGTCGACGGCTATAATCTTTTGATGTTATCTTTCAGGATCAAATAGTTTGTTATAACTTTAATTCGATCCTAATTCAATATATTTATTAAATAGATAACTATAATTATATAAACAATTAATGCTTGCATTTACAGGAAAATCAAATTCATGCGCAGATAAGAGACTCGAATATCGATACTTTCAAAGATGACCTGGAAGAAAATAAAGGTTTAACCAAGTTCAGAGTTCAGCGCAACTTACAGAACACTAAGACAATCTCTTATCCTTATATGATACTGTTTTTTAGAAGAACCAAACATCAAAAATTATCTCCAGACTTATTTCTAAATTCTTAATACAAATTTATGTCAATCGATGATATCAAGGTGTTGCCTTTAATAGACGACATTCTTTTGATTGGTTAGTAAATTATATAATATTTATATAGAAAAATATTATATGTCACGAAGAGATTAAATAAATTAAATCATATACTCCCTCCGTCCCAAATTATAATGCCTGTTTACTATTCACAGGGTCAAACTTCACTCACTTTCTTTCTCTATTTTCGTTAGCAATTTGATAAAATAAAATATTATTGTCACTACTAGTTTTGTAGATCTTTTAATGTAGTTTTTTAATATGTAATTTTTATTTTTTAATTCTATACCATTTGTCATATAAAATGGTTTGAAAATAATTTCAGTCAAACATCGTAAACCGAAACAGGCGTTATAAAATGAGACGGAGGTAGTATCATATTATTTTAATTACAGATGTCATTTGAAAAATTGGTAGTCGTGCAATGTCAGAAGATCACATGGCTAAGGATGTTCCCGAGAGGATGATGGAGATTCTGTTGGAAGACTATAGGTATACATACACATGAATTTAACATATTTGATTTTTTTATTTAGTGTCTTCTACAATTATTCACTTGATTAAATGTTCCTTCAGGGGAAACCATCTAGATTGTACTTTGTGGGCTCATCATATTTAGTTACAACTACTTAGTAGATTTCGCTGGCTAGATTGCAATTATTGGCCACTGAGTTGCAGGAAATGGACATGATGGCTATGGAGAAGTAACAATACTTGATGATATATTACTTCCATCTTCAGGAGATCCA